AATATCAAGCCGGAGAGTGCACACAGTAATATGACGTCATTGATTCTCGAGTAAACATTGAATAAAAAGGCAATTTTGTGGTTTGCGTGAAGAGTTTCTTTCATACAGTTCTTCGGGTAGGGGCGAAGCCCCACCCCCGCGTAAGAACGTCTGAGCCCCCCCCCCTCCCCAACTCAAAAGAAATTTCCTCATCGATACTTTATAATAAAATTACCGCCTAATTAATGTGTCTAATCTAAAAAGTGGTTTTCTTGCAATTTCTTTAATGCAATTCTTCGCGTAGTGGCTAAGCGCGACACCAGTGTTTCTTTCAGACTTTTTCCTCCCCAGAGGGGGGAACTTTTTCTAATCTAAAAAGTGTTCAGCGTGCAGATTTTTTAAAGTATCTCTTCCGGTAGGGGCGAAGCCCCGCCCAGATTCTTCCTTTAGTTTGTATGATCTACAAATGCGACCAGTGTTTCTTTCAGACTTTTTCCTCTCTGGCGAGGTGTGGGGTAGTTGAATTTTTTGGGGGACGGGGGTAGAATTTTCTGGGAGGGGGCGGACACTGGAAAAAGTATATAATTATATTTCGTTGAATGGGACGGTAGACATGTTTTGGGGTGTGGGGGGGGGGGGGGGGGCAGAGCCCCCTCCTCCCAAGTAGAGTTGCCTGAAAGAAACTCTAAATGCGACTTTTGTCATGAATGAGATTAGGTGCATGGTTTAGGGATATGCCTATGACTATATTTTGTATAAATTAAAGTACCGAGAAAATAGACAGCACTATCAACCTAGTGCCCGTTGTATCCTTCCTCAACGGGCCATTTTTCTCGTACAATAAATAATAGGCAATATTTAAAATATCCGTGTTTTACCTACCATATATCTATCAATTCACGCTTTTTTTTCCAGTACTTTAAATTTTAAAAATTTACAATAGAGTTTTATAACTAAAACCAATGCGCACCCAATGAACGTGATGACGCGTCTATAATAGTGCGGAATAGTTGATTAAAAATTATAAGTAGTAAACAGTACATTCAGTGAATAAAATAAATAAAAGATTGCCTTTTATTTATCAATCCATGCTAATTATAATTTTCTAATAACAATTTCCTCTTCCACATCCGCACAATTTGCATTCACATTTTGCTAATTATATTATTTCTTTACTAATTCCTTCTAGGACGTCCGTAGATTTGTATTCACGTGTTTTTTTTTATTAGCGTGAGTTTAATTTATTTTTAAATTACCTCCGTTGTCAAAATTAGAAAAAGAGTTAAATTAATTTGATTTTTCTACCCTACTGTTATTATGTATCCACTTTTTCTAGGAATATAAACGAAAATGATATTTGACATTGATCCTTTTAATATGTTTTAGCAATGTGCCTGTATTTAATATTTTCTTTACGTTATGCAAAAGAGTAAAAACAGTGGCATTTATAAAATAACTTTATGTTGTTATATAAACAAACCCTACTCTATCACTTATAATAAGACACTGCTGTGCGATGTTTGCATTTATGATTCCAAAATCCATAGCGATGACAGAAGGAAGGAGGGAAGGACTGACACACTACTTGCCCGCTTATATTATATATATATATATATATATATATATATATATATATATATATATATATATATATATATATATATATATATATATATAATATTATATACACACACACACACACACACACACACACACACACACACACATATATATATATATATATATATATATATATATATATATATATATATATATATATATATAATATTATATATATACACACACACACACACACATATATATATATATATATATATATATAAATAAATAAATAAATAAATATATATATATATATATATATATATATATATATATATATATATATATATATATATATATATATATATATATATATATATGTGTGTGTGTGTGTGTGTCTGTGTGACTGGGCTAGTCTAGTATGACATACTATGTAAAAGCGTTCTTCTATCCCGTTGAGGTTAATTTTGATCCAAGACATACCCGCTCTTCGATTAACCCGTTTTGTCCCTTGGTACGCTCATGAAAACCACAAACACCGTGAACAAAGCTCTTCAGTCTCCCCACGGACGCCCTAAGCAACGCGTCATCTCCCATGTTCAGACGTCCTTTTGTTACTCCCCGCGACTAAATATGGTCCAGCTATTTCCTCCCTGTCAGCATAGTATGTTTATGGGCCGCCTGCTTGTCCCTGTAATGTGGGCGCCATCCTGAGGAAAATCTGGATTACAATAGCAGGTCGTGGGTCGTTTTAAAAGAAGTCTTTTTTTTTTTTAAATTTCTTTCTAAAGTTTGACGAGGAAACTAATATATGAAGGCCTATATCGTTTAATTTCGGCACGATAGCTGCACATTCTAATAAACACCCGACCAAACCTTAACAATGACATCTCGAACTCGTATCACTTATGAAATACTAATTTCATAGAGTGAAAAATAAGCCTGAAAGAAACTGTTTTAGCATTTTTACTTTCTCGTGTTTAAGAAGTATAGAGAAAATCTTGTAATCGTGCAAAAAAAAAAAAAAAAAAAAAAAAAAAAAAAAAAAATCGAGATTTTTACAAATCTCGACGTTTTACACCTCACTGATACGGAAAAACATAATTTTGCAATCTTGTCCGTATGTCTGTGTCTGTGTGTGTGTGTGTGTAAACACGATAACTTGAGCACCGTTACAGCTAGGTTGATGAAATTTCATTTATAAGTATTTTATCAAAATCGTAGAAGTGGTACTTTTTCTACTTTGAATTTTTCAAAAGCCTATAACTTGAGTGCTATTTCAGATAGATAAATGAAATTTCAGATTTAAGTGAAAGATCAAATGCTCTACCTTCTGTGAAATTTTGACTAATTTCCGTTAATCGGAAGTACTAATTTACGCTATTTCCGATTTCTAAAAATAACGCATGTAAATTTATAAAGTACTAATAATATTGCGCACTAGTATGCACATTTTGTTTTGGCGTTCGCTTGGTGCGTAATTCTTTTTTCTATCAGATTCTATTCTATTTTTACAAGCTTTTATTTAACTCACTTCCTCGTCAGTCTGTCTGTCTGTCTAGACGGAAACGCAGGAGTGAAAATTCGGACAGTTCTACTTGACCGACACGATTCACAGTTGGCACGTGGGTCAAGACATGAAGACAATGCAATCTGAAACTAAATTTGACTTAATTGGATGCCTAATTGATTTTTTATGAATTAATTAAAATTTGGACCGAATTAGTAGGCATGTCTAGCCAACCACACCACACGCGTCATCAATAGCTGCGCCATCACGACCACGTAATGGCTGCGTTCAAAAACCATTGCGCGCCTACTGAACGTGATATTCAGTAGGCGCGCAATGGTTTTTAGTCATGTAACTCTATTGTAGATAAAACATGTAAAGTAGTGAAAAAAAAATTCATAAAAAAACGTTTTAATAACAAGCTTTTATGTAATGATGCACTAAAAAGTAGAAAATAAATTATAGACTACTATTTAAATAACTATAAAGAAAAGCGTGGGTGTCTTCCTTAACATTAGTAAAGGTATCCAATAGATACTAAAGTGACCCACGCTTTTCTTTATAGTTATTTAAATAGTAGTCTATAATTTATTTTCTACTTTTTAGTGCATCATTACATAAAAGCTTGTTATTAAAACGTTTTTTTATGAATTTTTTTACAAGCTTTTATTTAACTCACTTCCTCTGTCGTCAGTCGTCAGTCTGTCTAGATAGAAACGCAGGAGTGAAAACTCGGAAACTTCTACTTGACCGACACGATTCACAGTTGGCACGTGGGTCAAGACATGAAGACAATGCAATCTGAAACTAAATTTGACTTAATTGGATGCCTAATTAATTTTTTATTAATTAATTAAAATTTGGACCGAATTAGTAGGCATGTCTAGCCAACCACACCACACGCGTCATCACCTTCAATAGCTGCGCCATCACGTAATGGCTGCGTTCAAAAACCATTGCGCGCCTACTGAACGTGATGTTCAGTAGGCGCGCAATGGTTTTTAGTCATGTAACTCTATTGTAAATAAAACATGTAAAGTACTGAAAAAAAAATTCATAAAAAACGTTTTAATAACAAGCTTTTATGTAATGATGCACTAAAAAGTAGAAAATAAATTATAGACTACTATTTAAATAACTATAAAGAAAAGCGTGGGTGTCTTCCTTAACATTAGTAAAGGTATCCAATAGATACTAAAGTGACCCACGCTTTTCTTTATAGTTATTTAAATAGTAGTCTATAATTTATTTTCTACTTTTTAGTGCATCATTACATAAAAGCTTGTTATTAAAACGTTTTTTATGAATTTTTTTAAAAAGTTTAAGTAATTAAAAATCATGTCTATATTCCAAGTTATATAAGAATATTCGAGAAAGTTTAGGGGAGATCACTCCCGGTTTATTTCAATTGTTTTTTTTTAATTGAAAAATAAAGCCTACATAATATTAGCGCACAAGTAATACTAAAGTTTTAAAACATTCACAAAAACGTTTTAATAACAAGCTTTTATATAATTATAATACTAAAAAGAATGAACCTCTATTAAATAAAGTCGGATCTTGATCAACGTGCCAGGTTTCAATGTAATTGGTTGAAACTTTGCTCGCCAGTTTCGATTCTTGGTGGGCGAAGCACGACTAGGAAACTTGATCTTATGTGGCACTATAGAGCCTGACCCCATGTGGTGGACTAGGTAACGATCTTGTGTGGTGGGTTAGGGAATTTCATCTTGTGTGGTGTACTAGGGAACTTGATCTTATGTGGTAATGGGGAACTTTATCTCATAGTGTGGACTAGGAAACCTGATCTTATGTGACACTTGGGAACTTGATCTTGTGCAAAGTGTGCCGATTTAAACAGAATACAATAAATTATAATTTTATTTATTGTCTACTTGTTACCACGAAAACAAATACAATCGTTAGTTTGAAGCAATTTAACATGAAATGATAATTCTAGTTTTATTTGAAAGAAACAAAAAGCTTAATAAACAAACTTAAATAAATAAGAAACAAACAGTAGTAATGAAACCCGCACAAGGGCTGCCTTTATCGAGTCGCTAGCAGCATTAGTAAGGCAACAAAGCTCAAACTGGGCGAGCATATGGATAGTGTAGAGGAGCAATATTGCTCACATTTTTCACATTTCCAGAGGTCACTCTCGCCTAAGTTACTTAACTCGTATGCCAGACGTGACAAGGGAAAATTTCCTTTATTGCAATGCGCGCCAGAGAAGTCATCTTCGGATTGAGAAGATATCATCAAACCTCCTATGTTATGCTCTTTTAGGTATTCAATCTTTTGAGTTATACTTCGTTCATCCTCATAAGTGACCCATTCTTTTTCCAAGTACCTGTTCATTAGAGATGTACATTGCTTTTTATGGATCATTCATCATTATAAGTGATAGAGTAGGGTTTGTTTATATAACGACATAAAGTACGGGTCGTGAGGATCTTGTCATGTCTAGAACAATCAACATAACTATGTTAAACAGTAGACCACTGGTCAACTAGTGTTGGCTCGTATGTGTTCAAAATGTGGGTGGGTGGTGGATGTTTGTCATATGGCCAACTTCCCAAAAACGCCTATTGTCCAAGGTTATCGCCCAAAATTATTATGTTTTTATTTTAATAATTAACACATTATAACATGTATTGTAATAAGAGTTTTTGGTTTGGTAAATGTGGGGGGAAAAACGTGTTATTGTAACACAATTGTTTTTTCTTTCCTTTAGAGCAATGTTTTAGCACACATGCCTGATGTATTTTATCACATAAAAATTACACAACGAAATAATGTGAAATGATTTTTAGATTGTGATATTGTGTGCAAAACTGTGAAGATAATCCATTACAGATCCAATACAGATTGTTGCTGTTTGTTAATCCCCGTCAATGGTAGCCTTTTAGCGCTTTGCTCGGGGCACTTTATCGAACACAATCAATGAATTCTTCAAACAAAAATCTTTATTTTTTCAATGTTAGCATATGGTGCAGCACAAGTCTCCAAAGCCAGGTTTGATTGACAAACTTCTGAGGACGGTCAATTTTATGCTGCTAGATACAGTGGCGTAGCCATGATTGTTTCATGGGGGGGGGGGGTTCAAAATTTTCCATTATATATATATATATATATATATATATATATATATATATATATATATATAAATATATATAAGCTGTATGTCATTGCTTCGCTTTGATGTAATATAAATTGAAAGTAGTATTCTGCATAAATAATAACAAACACACAATGTAGGCCGACAAAACAAAACAGTTTATCACTTTTAACAAAAAGCAAACAAAATATACACACAATACAACAAAGACAATGAACGCAACACAATCTGTTTTGTAATCCTTGTAGAACAACATTGACATAATGATTCCTAGAATATTAATTAAGACAAGCGAACTAGGAGAAATAATCACTCTCTTAATATACATTTCTACACATTTAATTGTAAATGTCAAAACAGATCAATAATTACTTTAGTATGTAATATAACAGGTTAACACTATTCGTTTATACAAAAAATATGTTGACTACAATCAATATTAAATATATTGTCATCATAAATGCTAAAACATTACAGCGTAATGAAAGATTTTGATATCAGAGTTGGTATAAAATCACGCTTTTCAATCTATAGAAAACCAAATTTAATAGGTGGAACATTTTGAATAATAGCCTACATCTAACTAAAATATTGGTCTTGCAGTTCAGATCATTCATTTACTGTTTTTTTTGTGTGTTCTTTAAAGATCATTTTTAACATAATGGTAAGGTATGGGCTAGATCACTATTGATCACACACCTCTTTACTGGTAATTGCAAAACAACATTCATCGAGTTTTACCTGTTTCAAAGCTATGATTCCGGCGGCAATGTACTTTACGCGTTTTCCCAAATGTTCGGGTTGGGTTGGGGGGGGGGGGGGTTCGATTTTATTCACCACTGTCTTGTCACTTTAAGTCAATTATCCTACCCAGCGTATACCTATGTGTGACATTAAGGTCACTCTACACAATTACGGCCTGTCCTGTTCTGGTGGTGAGGTGGGGGAGGGGGGAGGGGGTAAAATAACCAACTCAGAGTGAACATAACCCCCCCCTCCCCGGCATACGTCACTGGTTAGATATGCGCAACGTGTGATAGATGATAGATGGTTTACGAACACTTTGGTCAGTTAAACCACGAGTTTTGCATCGTGTGACGGATAGTTTCTTTTTCAAAATTATTTCACGTGTTTTGACATTAGTGAGGCTAGTTTAATGATATCATCATTTTATTTTATCTTTTGCATTTTCTTGTCATATACTTTCATTTAAATTGCTATTTTTTAAAAAGTAAGTTCATTCAGTCTCTCTCTCTCTCTCTCTATAGCTATATATATATATATATATATATATATATATATATATATATATATATATATATATATATATATATATATATATATATATATATATATATAAATGTATGGGTGTGTATATTTAAATGTAGAATTTATATGCCACTGAGTGGACAATGGCATCTGTCAACTCACCAGAAAGGTGTAAGATCCCTGAAAGAGGCTCTCATGTTAGTTCCATTTTTAATGCGTTGGCACATCTCGTAGTAAAACACGTGTCTGCAGAAGTGAAAAGCTATGGGATAAGGCATTTAAGCATAGCTTCAACAGACAAGTGACAGACCTGGTGTGTCTATGAAAGAGCAGCGGGCGCTTCCCCCCCCCCCTCCCCGCAAGCATTTTTAGGACAGTGGCGCTTTTTCGGAAATAAAAAAAAAATGAAACATGCAAAGCCATTAAGTGATTCATGACTAAAATACTGAAGCTGAAATGAATGTGTCCATCTCGTGGCCGACGTCTAATCGAAACTGTTGATTATTGAAGGCGCCTTTCCTGCCGTCGGCGTTTGCACCTAACCGTAACTTATCTTGTGGTCTTTTCTAGAAAAAAATGTTAATTATTGATGAATTTATCTTGTATTACTGTTGATTAATTAAGGTGCCTATGGCTGATATAGTTGACTGTATGTGCTGCTGGATGTGGATTCACCATCATAGCTCAGGTGGTCAAGATGTAGCAGAAAGAAAAAAAACAATCAAAGACAATATCTACGATAATACTTAATCTTATATATATATATATATATATATATATATATATATATATATATATATATATATATATATATATATATATATATATATCTATATATATGTGTAGTTATTATATATACTTATAAATTTATAAATAAATAAATAAATAAATAAATAAATAAATATATATATATATATATATATATATATATATATATATATATATATATATATATATACACATTTACGCAACAGTGTAGACTGTTGAATAAAGAAAATTCAACCACACTTATCAATGCAAAATTGGAGAAAATTAAATTTTGAAATGAAATTGAGTACTTTATTTATTTGTCGTCCATGAGATGCCCTAAAGGGATGCCTTCTTCTAGCGTCGCGGGATCTGGTGCTATGGTATGTTGACAAACCTAACATGGGCGGGATCTGGTGCTATGGTATGTTGACAAACCTAACATGGGCGGGATCTGGTGCTATGGTATGTTGACAAACCTAACATGGGCGGGATCTGGTGCTATGGTATGTTGACAAACCTAACATGGGCGGGATCTGGTGCTATGGTATGTTGACAAACCTAACATGGGCGGGATCTGGTGCTATGGTATGTTGACAAACCTAACATGGGCGGGATCTGGTGCTATGGTATGTTGACAAACCTAACATGGGCGGGATCTGGTGCTATGGTATGTTGACAAACCTAACATGGGCGGGATCTGGTGCTATGGTATGTTGACAAACCTAACATGGGCGGGCTCTGGTGCTATGGTATGTTGACAAACCTAACATGGCCAACCTATCCTCACAACGTATCCTGGGAAACCTATCATAACAAACCTATCCTGACAAACCTATCTTAGCGAATCTATTCTCACAACTTATACTGACCAACCTATCATAAAAACCTACCCTGTCTTATCTGAGAGTGTTGAAGTCCCAACTCCAATGGCTGGAGCATTTAACCCTGCCACGGTCCTGTCTTTTAGAAGGAAACTTTGCCCAACCTTAATAAAAGAGCAGGAGTATTATCTATGTATAAAAAAATAATCAAAGAATGTCCTTCCCTTTATATGTCCTTTCTGCATTAGTACACCGTTCATCCGATCACCACGAAACTTCGGGATGTTGTTGTGAATACTCATAGGACACGGGTCGGCAACCTTTTGAGGCGGAAGAGCCAAAAGTTAAAATTTTGACAATTTCCCAGTTTTTAAAGAGCCAAAGAGCCACTGACACTTTTTTTTCAATATTTTATTATTTGATTAGCATTTGGTAAATAAATTTTATTTATTATTTAAAATAAATAGCTTTACATATGAAATAATATTTATTCATATAAAAACATACACTTGTTTTGCCAGAATAATGAAATTAGTAAGCAAAAAATAAAAATATTGGACTATCCCAATCCACCTTAGAAGCTGTTAATTTTTTAAAAAATATTTACGGATAACACCGGCTCAGGAGATGTCTCCCATTAGCCAGGCAGGCCTCAAAACGAAAAACTCCGACCAACTGGAATGGATATTGGCTTGATTACCGTGTATCTGTGCAGAGTTTCTTCCAGGCATCTCTTCTGGGGGGGGGGGGGGGGCTCTGTCCCCTCGAAGAAAGTCTACCGCTCTCCCAAAAACGAATTGGACTTTTATATCGAAAACATATATTTCGACCAGTGTCGCCTCCCCCCCCCCGGAAAATGTTGGCCGCCCCCCCCCACCCGAAAATATCAAGTGCCCCCCCCCCCCCCGGGAAAAAAAGTTTGGAAGAAACACTGTATCTGTCACTTATGTCATTTGGTTCTCATTAGGCCTATCTTCCATCCCACAGAGCCAAGTCCCCACCGCCCTGTACCCGGCTCAACAGTAGGAAGCTAATAATAACTACGTCACTCACGTAAATTTAATGGTTACTGACGGATAGGGAAATGCATTCTAAATTAACATTCCCCAATAACGATATTCGAAAAAGTCGCCAGTAGGGCAGTGGCAAGCATGGGATTGTTGTCACAGGGCTGAGTGTTTTTATCCTGTTTAAACTTGTGTATCCTTACAGTATAATTTTAGTTATGAGTTTTGAAAATTAAATAATGTAACTATTAATATTTGTGCAAGGAGCTGGAGAGCCGCATCGTGACACCAAAAGAGCCGCATGCGGCTCGCGAACCGCAGGTTGCCGACCCATGTCATAGGAAGATTGCTGTTCTGCGAAATAAAAAATTCAAATTTCTGAAGAGCGGCGCCACGGCATGTTGCGATTCGATTCTTTTCTATGTAAGGTATACAAAATAAATTAAAGGCGGATGCGATTTGACACCGTTCATCCGGGTGCCATGAAACTTTGGGCAGTTGATGAGGATGCTGCTCGTGTGAAGGTTTCTAAGAAAACAAAATTTAAAATTTCTTATGGGCGGCGCTCCGGCAAGGTGCGATTTTTCTGTCAGATTCGTCAGTCTAGCGACCGAGCACCCAGTTACGCCCTTTACACCTGAGGTGTGTTCTACCTCATTATCACTCAAGATGGGATCAACTAGAATAGTTGCATAGTACATGCTATTGTTATTTGTTGAATATTATGTCGGCCTATTTTGGGCTGTTTTTTGATTCTCATACTTTGGTTACTTTTGTAGTTATATTTTTGTTGTGTTTTATAACTAAATCTGGGTAACGTCCCCCCACCACTTCTCACGAGATGGCACTCGGGTCTCACGGCGCGAGGTTCTGCTTTAGGCCACTTTATTAACCTAGTCCCCGGACTCTAGTTGTGCACCTCACACAGAGGCGTAGCGAACCTTCCCGGCGCCCGGGGACAAACTTTCAATTTGGCGCCTCCATAAAACTGCTAAAATGCAGCTAAAATGACATTTTAATTTATTTTTACAACCCATTTTGGCGCCCCCTAAGGTCAGCGCCCGGGGACATATGTACCCCCCTGCCCCCCCCAATCGCTACGCCTCTGACCTCACATGGTGTGAATTTAATCAGCGATGTTGACGGTCAGATTCTAGCTTCCTCATGCCATTCATCACAGCTCAGGTTTGACCACGATGGTCAGTTCGCTGCGTTTTCTGTTATTGGACTGCCTGGCACAATGATGTCAGCCCAAGCGCTGACGACTGTCTTCTTAGTTTATGGGCGTAAAGGCCACGACCTGGGTCAGCTTGGATCAAGCAGGTGGTCCGAAAAGTGGTTGGGCTTATTAGCCTATATAAGAGTAGCGATGGGTGAAACATACACACATAGCTGGGGCTAGATACTAGTCTAGGCCTTATGGTGGGGGGGGGGGGGGGGGTCACTTGAAATTTTCGGGGGGGGGGGGGGAGTGAAGGGATTTCGTTCGGGTGATGGGGCGGTAGAAGTGATGCATGGAAGAAACTCTGAAAACTAGGGATACTAGCATTTACAGGTGTGATTCTTAGATTACATAGTAGTGCCACAAGTAAACTTCGGACTAGAGATGATAATATTTACACGTGTGATTCTGATATTACGTAAGCAGTGCCAGAATTACAATAAGGACTAGGAATAATAATATTTACACGTCTGGTTCTGAGATTACCGAAGCAGTGCAAGTAGTGGAGTTACGACTAGAGAAAATGACAATTACCTGTGTAAATTCTGAGTTGTGTAAATGTAGGATTGCTACTCACGCTTATATATGTTATTTTCTGAATTAATGTCAGTTCACCAAGTTGATAAATTCCGCATTCAAATGTAAGTTTGATGATTTTTGTCTTTTTGACTGGTATTTGTAATTCCAGTAATTTTTTTATTAAATATCAACGGGCCATGTCTTATATGTATTGTTTTACTGTTATTGAACATTTGCAGACCAAATTGGAGTCTAATGAATGTAATAAATAAATTGAACTATGGGTTAATACGTTTTATTTTTAGTTAACTATTAATGTTGTCTAAGTGTGTAATTAGTTTTGCTCAGGTCTGGTAAACCTCCTTGTACCAACGAAGATGCACGAAATCGAGAGAATAAAACCATCACCATCTCTCTATCGGTATAAGACCGACCCCTTACCCCTCCCCCTTACATTTTTGGTATCAGGAGAGGGATCCCCTCACACTCTCTTGATATCCATAAATCAAATTAAAAAAAACGACCCCCCCCCCCCCGACATGTACATTTAAGTAACTCAGTTTTAGAAAACAAGGTAACGCGTCTAAAAACACACAATCGGTAATAATTTCGTCAGACAAGTTTCACTTCTAAAAATAACGATTAGATACACGTTTAGAACCCCCCGATTACGCAATGTGCATTTGTTTTTACATGATTCAATTAGAAGATCGGAAAGCAAGATCACGCTTCTAAAAATACTCGATTGGTAACGGATTAATGAAATCATCTTAAAATATTGCATCATCCTTTCTTCTGAGACCGCAGCAACGCGCGGGACGAGTACGCTAATATTTTATATAGAACTAGAACAGCACTTTTATTACATACAAATTTATCTGACAGCATTTTGGCAATATTGCATAACATTGATGGCTACAAACTCACTTGACAACAATGAACCTACCAAGGAAATCACCACATTCACTTTCGATTTATCCGCTCCACTGTCAATCATCTTTTTTAACATGGAATCGATACTGAAAGTATTATGTTGGATCGTATCAGTTTGGCGACTCTGTCTGGACATTTTAATTGGCTTGCCACTGGCATGTGATCCAATGCTCCGGTCAGTGTCGTCTCTCGTTTCGCTTTGCGCAGTTAAATTGGCGAGAGAATGTTGACTCATTAAGGAACTGCTAGCCACACCAAACCGTTTGGCCAACCCAGACAGGTAGTGGCTATCGATGTATCCTGTCTTGTTTGTCTTGGCGCCTTCAAACATCTCACTTGGTCGGTACACCTCTTCTAGTGTGGACGTCTGTGGGGTGAATCTGACGGGTTGGTCGTTATCTCGGGCTGGGTACAATGGTGTGAGGAGTTGAGTTCTATTCTTGTCTTCAATGTCGGGATTAAATGTTAGTAATGTTATTTGGTCCGCAAAATTGTTTAGAAGTCCAACCTAAAAGTTTATATTCTCAGAAAGATAAATATTTCAATTAAGCAGTCTAGTCTTTTATTATAAAATTTATAAAGCAATGAAGATAAAATAATTTCCATCTACTATAGTATTTCACCACATTCTAAAATACATTAAATACATCTCTCTGACTGTACAGCTATCCTATTTTAACAACCTAATGTTTGAGCCTAAAGTTCTTGTTTGAAACCAAAATTGTCTTCTAAAATCCTTTTTTTTAAAACCTCAAAATTATCATTTAAATTACTTGTTTTAAACCTCAAAGTTGAACCCGCATTGGTCTACTAAAGTCCTTGTATGAACCTAAAATAGTCCTCTAAAGACCTTGTTTGAACCCTAATTTGTCTTCTTAAGGCGTTATTTTATATCTCAAACAAGTCTTCTAAAGTTTAAAAAAATTAAATCAAAACTGATTGTCTTAAACATAAATATTGTTTTCTAAATTCCACGTACCTCATAGTACTGCGAGATGTTTTGCACAAATCCAGCTAATACAACACCAATTTGAAGCCTGTAACTGTTTGTGATGACTTCCCGGTAGAATGTCATTTTCAGATGTCTCAACAAAGTGGTAAGCTGCCTGGCCTCTGGCGGGTATAACCAGTGAATAACAAGGCCGTCAAATCCCCACAACCGAAGGTGTTGCCGGCAGGCTTGAGTAAAATCTTCCAGTTTGTTCACGTCAGATACGATTGACTCGTAAGATAAACCGCTCGATTCTATCACCGTTAGAAAAGTTTGTACATTTGGCATTTTGACTTTAAAGTCGTTAATAGTTATATAATTCGGAAAATACTCGTTTTCATTTAGCGGCAGGAGATTAGACCTGGATGGAATAAATCTTTCCGTGTCATCACTTATTTCTGTATAGCTGTAGTAAATATCTGTGAGAGGAATGTTCTCATGACAATTTCATATATATATATATATATATATATATATATATATATATATATATATATATATATATATATATATATATATATATATATATATATGTGTGTGTGTGTGTGTGTGTGTGTATTTAAGCTGTTACTTCACGTTGGTCAATACACATGTTTGTAAGTTTAAATAAATGTTAATCAATCATAGATTTAGTCCCACACAACGTTGACCAAACTCACTAATTTTTTTGAAAAACAGTGTTTAAATAAACCGGGAGTGATCTCCCCTAAACTTTCTCGAATATTCAAATATAAAACTACGAGGGATGGCAACTCAAGACATAGACAATATCTGTAATCCATTTTTAATTACTTAAACTTTTTATATTAAAAGGGAGTCTCGTAAAAAAAAAAGAATTGCACACCAAGTGAACGCCTACTAAAATGTGTATAATAGTGGGGATATTATTAGTACTTTATAAATTTACGTGCGTTTTTTGAGAAATCGGAAATAGCGTAAATTCGTACTTCCGGTCAACAGAAATTACTCTAAATTTGACAGAAGGCAGAGAATTAGATCTTTTACTTACATATGAAATTTCATTTATCTATCTGAAATAGTACTAAAGTTATTGGCTTTTTAAAAATTCAAAGTAGAAAAAGTACCACTTCCGTTTATCGGAAATCGCTCAAAAGTTGATACGGATCAACGATTTTGATAAAATACTTATATATGAAATTTCATCAATCTAGCTCTAACGGTACTCAGACACACACACACACACACACACACACACACACACACACACACACACACACACACACACACACACACACACACACACAGAGAGAGAGAGAGAGACATACGGACAATATTGCAAAATTATTTTTTTCTGTATCAGTGAGGTGTAAAACGTTCTCGATTTTTTTGCACGATTACAAGACTTTCTCTATACTTCGTATATGCGAGAAAGTAAAAAATACAGCCTTGAGAGGGGTGGTGGACTGAGGTGTGACATCATTTTAGCTTTTTTTATGCTTTATTTACATGTTCAGCTGGGTTTTATTATTTTAAAAATAAACACACCTCAACATTGTCGTCTTAATTTTACTTTTTACATGCAGGTTACGAGTTTAGTTCGTTTTAAAATTATTAGTAATTAAATTGTTAGATATTGAATTCAAAATGTAGACCTCCAACTCCCCCCCCCCTCCCCAGTCCACATGCGACAACAAGTCGTTTTTTTTCTGGAAACCCCTCCTAACCCTCCGTGTGGACATCATAAATGTCAAACTGCAACAGGGATATAGTGGGCTACTACATTCGATGAATAAAACGAAACCGGCACCATTCATGTAGTCTCTCTTTTGGATGGTGCGACATCACTATTGAGGAGGATGATTAGCCTAAACTCAATAATTTCTTACAGCACACCCTGAGGCGTCTGGGCGGAAATCTGGACAAACCAGCGTTCCAAAAACTAAGATCCAAGAAATATTCCGCCATTTTTGTTTACATTTAAAGAACTCCATTTTTACTTTCTCGTATATACGAAGTATAGAGAAAGTATTGTAATCGTGCACAAAAATCACTTGAAATTTTAACAATTTTCACCGTATTACACCTCAGTCCTTCCTCACATCCGAAGTATAGAGGACTTATTTTAATCGGGCAAAAATTATCAATCCAGATTTATCAAAATTAAGAGGTTTTATGCGTAATCCAGTCTGAAAAACTGGGCTTTGCAATTGTGTCCGTATGTCCGTGTGTCTGTGTGTATGTCTGTGTGTATGTCTGTCTGTCCGTGTGTAAACTCGATAACTTGAGTACCGTTACAGCTAGGTTGATGAAATTTCATATATAAGTATTTTATCAAAATCGTAGATCCGTATCAACTTTTGAGCGATTTCCGATAACCGGAAGAGGTACTTTTTCTACTTTGAATTTTTCAAAAGCCTATAACTTGAGTACTATTTCAGATAGATAAATGAAATTTCACATGTAAGTAAAAGATCTAATTCTCTACCTTCTGTTAAATTTTGAGTAATTTCCATTGACCGGAAGTAGTAATTTACGCTACTTCCGATTTCTCAAAAAACTAATGTAAAATTTTAAAGTACTAATAATATTGCGCACTATTATGCACTTTTTTTTATTTGGCGTTCACTTGGTGTGCAATTCTTTTGTCTACGAGATTTTATTCTATTTTTAAAACTTTAAGTATTTAAAATGGATTAAAAATCTAGTCTATAGCCCGAGTTCCCATCCCCTGTTGTTTTATATAAGAAAATTCGAGAAGTTTAGGGGAGATCACTCCCGGTTTATTAGAAAACATGGTCACACCTCTAAAAATACCCGTTATGTAATACGTTATGCAACCCTTATAAAATATTTCTTCACTCCATGTGTAGGCGTAGATCTAGATCGCAGTCCACCCAGCTCCGATGGATACCTGATTTACCGTCAGGTTCGAAATTGTACTTTGCACACACTCAAACACACACACACATACACCACACCACACCACACTAACACCCATTCACACACACACACATACACACGTCTACCTAGTGTCGTATTTGTGTAATAAGAGTACCTTGTACAGTTTTTTTTTGTTTTTCGAACTGATGTCTGTAATCCACTCGGTCAACATACCGTTGTCGTGATTTATACACGTACCTGAGCAATAGTTAGGTGCCATAGAGTGCAGCAGAAATCGACGTGTTCCATCTCTGGTAGCTGCACTAGCATCAATGTTACACACAACACGTTTAAGCCGTGAGCTGTAAGCATCCCTATTGCTTGAGTGGAAATAGAATAATTCAATAAATGAGCAGTGCTACCACTCAATTAATATTTCAGTGCTACCACTAGATTAATATACCGGTGCCACCAGTAGCGGATTAAGGGGGTTGGGGGTGGGTTGGTTTTTACTATAAAAACTAAACTTTTAATTTTTTTTATCAAACACGTGTACACATTTCTTTTAAAATTAACCGGGGGTAATCTCCCCTATACTTTCTCTAATATAAAAGTCCATGTGCGCACTTCTCTCTAAATGTTTAAATGTATAAACACAATTTTATTTAAAGAAGAAAAATAAAACATAAAGGCTTATTCGAATGTAGAAAAACAGTTTTAATTATGCAACCGGAAAAGTGTTTATAGTTGTGAAAAAGAACGCATTAAACAATTACGTCACTAATGTTTATACTAAAAAAATAGCACAGAATTAATGACGTCATCTTCCGAGTTTAGAATATAAAGAAATGAACTATTTCATTCAAATATGATTTAGATCTACGTGCGCTATAAAATTTATACAATTTTCTCGGCCTAAACTTGAAAAAATTATGTATTAGGATTCTAGAATCTAAATCTAGATCTCGATATTCTAGATCTAGCTCTAGATCTAGATATTCTAGATCTTCTAGATCTAGAGATTCTAGATCCAGGTGATCTAGATCTACGGAAAACTAGACTCAGACAGATCTAGACCCTACCTAGATCTAAAATGTATTCCAATAATACATATCTATACTAAACTATTTCAGACCTTAATTACTTTATTGAAATCTTTGTTTGTTTTGAACTCTGTCAAAATAGTATTTTAATCAATACCTATTACAATTTATTAAAACTGTTTTCTAAAACGTGGAATAACGTCTAAAATTTATATTGAAACATTGCTTTTTTTAATGCAAAAATGTGACGTCGCACCATCTGAACCCCCCCTCCCCCTCATCACACACCGTCACAAAATTACGGACCCCCTCCCCCATACGAGTGTGACGTCATTTATGGACGACCCCCGTATCAAAATTTCGTAGTGTTACATAAGAATATTTGTGAAAGTTTAGGGGAGATCATTCCCGCTTTATTATTTTGGTGTCACACAATTGATGTAGAAAACAGTTAAATTAGTCTGTAATGCCAAGTAGCAGTCCACATTCTTTATTTCGACTGTATACAATTCAGTAAATTCAGTAATGAGATCTCTATGTTATTACCTATCACATTTGCTCCCTTTTTGGGTCGGCGCTTAACGCAGCCCCCCCCCGGAGAGATGCCTGGAAGAAACTCTGCCGTTTAGGGAGGAGGGGGGATTGGGGGGGGGGGGGGTTATAATCCGACAAAAAATAATATTTTTTTGCACCTTGCTAGACTAGTGGATTTGAAAAAAAAACTAATCGATTGCAGCAGTGATTATTTCTACCTTATCTAAAACTCACTGTTGCGTAGAGAAAAAAAAAACTACATACGTTGTAGTATGAAAAATAGGCAAAAAAAGCACACTCTGCCCGCGAAGATGGAACGATCGGGCGCTGGAATGGAGAGAGATGTAGAATGGACTGAATGCAGAGACAAGTGATAGTAGAATGAGATGCGGAGTGATACAGTGTGTGGACCTGTGACAGTAGAGGTCTGTTGAGATTCACCTAATTATCTGAACTGTAATTATTCATGAAGAAATAAAGTGTTGGAATCTTGAACCTGCGGGCAGAGTGTGCTTTTTTATATCAGGTGGGTGGATCGGTACCAAATGAGATGTCCACGGCCTAGAGGTGGGATCTCCTAAGACATTGACGAATACCTACAGACAGGATGTTGTACACGCCTCTGTCGCATTTGGGTGCCGTGAGGAAGGGGTCGCACAAGACCTAATAATAAGTTTTAATGAGTTTTGCCTAGGGCGCTAAATAACCTGGCGCCGGCACTTTCTGTGCGGTATTTTAAAACGGTCTTTTACCCAGCAATTGTATTTCCGCTGGCCGCTGTAGGCAGGTCTTTGATTTCTCTGTCTGTGATGTTCACAATGCTGATATTGGCGCGTGTGTCGGGATTAACGACACTGGGCGTCTGTTGATGGTCAGTGGTCGTTACAAAGCGCTCGTCACCCACTGTGCTGTTGTTCTGCGCGGCTGTGGCGGTTACACAGATGAGAACCTCTGATGCCATTATTATCCAATATAGGGTCATGTCGCTGAAATAAGAGGAAATAAATGAGTTAGACCTTCTATTTAAAAATAGACACACACACAGACACACAGACACACCGACACACACACACACACAAACAGACATACGGACAGAATTGCAAAGCCCAATTTTTCCGACTCGATTACGCATAGAACGTTGAAATTTTGATACATCTGCATTTATTATTTTTGCCAGATTAAATAAGTCCCCTATACTCCGTATATGATGAAGTACTGGGGTTTAAAACGATGAAAACTGTCAAAATTTCAAGTGATTTTTTTTGCACGATTACAATACTTCCTCTATACTCTGTATACACGAAAGTAAAAATAATTAGTGCTGTCAGACAAAAATAAACCTCATCTGAGTTTAGAGGGAAGTTTGTAGCAGATGCTAATTCGTTTAGGACAGTCTTTATATGCAATTCTTTTTCCACGAGATTTTATTCTATTTTAAAAAGTTTAAGTATTTAAAATAGATTAAAAATCATGTCTATATCACGAGTTCCCATCCCCTGTTGTTTTATATAAGAATATTCGAAAAAGTTTAGGGGAGATCACTCCCGATTTATTAATTACTCAAACTTAAAAAAAAAAGAATAGAATCTCGTGAAAAAAAGAATTGCACACCAAGTGAACGCAAAATAAAATGTGTATAATAGTGCGGAATATTATTAGTACTTTATAAATTCACTTGCGTTTTATGAGAAATCGGAAATAGCAAAAATTACAACTTCCAATCAACGGAAATTATTAAAAATTTGAAAGAAGGCAGAGAATTAGATCTTTAACTTACATGTGAAATTTCATTTATCTATCTGAAATAGAACTCAAGTTATAGGCTTCTGAAAATTCCGGTTATCGGAAATCGCTCAAAAGTTGAAGCGGATGTACGATTTTGATATAATACTTATATATGAAATTTTATCAACCTAGGTTAAATGGTACTAAAGTTATCGTGTTTACAGACACACACACACATCCACACACATCCACACACACATACACACACATACACACACACACAAACATACGAACAAGATTGCAAAATTATGTTTTTTAGACTCAGGGATGTGTAAAACGTCGAGATTTGCAATAATTTCGATTTTGTTTTGCACGATTACCAGACTTTCTCAATACTTCGTATATACGAGAAAGTAAAAAAGGGTTTGGTGAATGCGCATATGAAACTTGTAGTGTTTGGTACCTTCAAAAAGTAAAGAACCAATGCTTTAGAGTGTAGTTTGTAGACCGTATGTGAACGTATGCTATTTTACTGATCGGATAGCGATACACGAATCTGTGATATTTATTTCTTATTAATGCAGCGATCCAGGCAAGATGTAATGCAATCAAGTAAACATATCTGATCTCTCACGTTGAAGTTGAGAGAATCGGGTAGTTGAGAGAAACAGGGCAGTGAAAACATACATTAAGTTTCTGAACGTTGACACTGCCCCAAGTAATCACGTTTAACAAGATGTTCATCTCATTTTATGCCCGCCGAAACTTGTGAAAAGTGTAACTTCATGTCTTGCATGTCGGTCAAAAGAATATGAAAGACGGGTGCTTGAGATGTGTAATTGTCTCCCGCGCTCGTTTCATTCTTTTTTTAAAATTTATAATATTAGTTTAGATCACATTCCTTTTTAGCGCAATTTCCATACTGACAATTGCGATTATTAATTCGTTATTTCTGGATGGATGGATGGATGTGTGTCCGCAGCTTTAAGTCGTATCTCCTCCTCAACGAAGCAATATCGAGGACTAGTTCCAAAAGCAAGTTAAGCAAGTTCCGAGGATGATTGTGGGCCCAAAAAATGCCCGGAATTCCTTCCTGGATTTCCCGGAAAAGCCAAAAAACCTCGAAAAAAATGCAGTTTTTGGCCCATATCTCGGCAACCAGACCACTTAGCGACTTGAAACATTTACCAATCGATTTATGCCATAATTTAGAACAATATTGCCGAAGAAAGTTTTCAAAAATATCCTTTCGTTCGGTCACAAAAAATTTGCTGAATATATGATTTATCTCGATTTAAAATTGTTATGGATAACATAAGGAAATTGCGCTTAAATTGTCACTAGACTTTTTATTAACTTGTTTTTTATTGCTATGCAAATCTTTAGTATGTCTTATTTCAATGATAATAAAGAGAAGAAATTGTTCAGTACAAAACCATTTAAATGAGCTTTATTAGACTATTGGAAGAAGAGCAATACGTCATTTTAAAGAGCATTTTGAAACGGTTGCATATCTTGCAAACCACAGCTCTACAGCTCAAATAGTTAGTTCTTTCTTTAACGCAACAGTGTGTATTAGTTAATGTAGAACAATTGCTGCTGTAGTAAACTGTAGTATATCTTTAAAAAAAAACACTACTAAAGTGCGAAACATATTTTGGACTGACTTTGGGCCTCTTACTCCTAAATAGCCGAGTCCACTCCCCTTTTTCCTCCCCTTACGAATTGCGGGGTCTGGTGGTAAGGTAGATCTAGATCTAGTTCCGCCCCTGATTTTAACCCGGTTGCTTTAATAAGGCCGATTATATTTATTTATACTACTATACGTACATGGATTATTCATTTTAAATTTGAATCAATTTGAAAAGTCTCTATACAATAAACAATGAAAAAACACAAACATTTTTAATAAATTCTACATACAGATTGATTTGAAAACATAACTTTAAAAATATGCAACAAACAATCCAATGTTAAACGGTGCACACTCATTCGAACATCGCTACAAAATACCTTCTCTAAAAATGATTTAGAAGATGCGAAATCGGAGTTCAATGTACATGAACATGTCCTTGGAAAAACATTCGATAACGGTTTGATCAATATTAGATCTAGACGGTTCAATAATAAAAATAAAAAAAGACCGGTCTTATCAATTATTTGAATGAAGTCTAATATTTCTGACACTGAGGACTCCGTAATCTTATATAATAATATATTGTGTTTGCTAACATCTGCTGCATGAGACAGGGAAGAATCGACTTGATCAAATCTACGCAGAACGATAGACAGTATTTGGTGGGCTAGAATAATCGGATTACCTCAGCATTCAAAGCATGAAGGAATAGAAAAAAAATAATGGAGAGTAAATGGACCCGAGCGAAAAAAGTCTCAAAGGTATTCGAGAGACCCATTAAATATTTTAAAAAATCATGCATGGCGTAGTTAAAATTAATATAGCTATAAAATCCTGTTTGGTTTTTCAGGACTTTACTAAAGATTGGATGTATGTAATGTTTTTAATATTTTCGGCAACTAAATTAAAAAAAAAAGCAAAAAGGAAAAAACAATTTTCTTTTCACGTGTAATAGCGACATAAACAATGGAATCCTGCTACTGCTATTGTTTAGGCTAGTATAAATTTTATTGTACAAATTGTAAACGACATAAACCGGAAGTGATCTCCCCTAAACTTTCTCTAATCTATATCTATCTATATATCTATATATATAATTCTCCTCTTCGAGCCGTTAGAAAACAAGCTGCAAACGCGCTCCTTACCTCCCCACCCCTACATGGTTTTAGTGAGCTGTGTTCACTCTAAATGTTTACAAGCAGAGCCAACCATTTTAAACGTAGGGGGGGGGGGGGAGGGGGGGGAAGGAAGGGGGGGGGGGTTATGGTCCTTAACGAGCTACTTATAGTGTTTTAAAGAAATATTTTCAGTGTCAGCGTTGGTACTGTCGAATTCACAAATTATGAATTACTGAAAAGTAGAAAAAACAACAACTAAATAGCGGCGTATGTTACGCCGCGGGCCGGCTCGTATATATATAATTCTCTTCTTGGAGACGCTAGAAAACAAGCTGTAAACGCGCTCCCTATCACCCCCACCCCTACATGGTTTGGTGAGCTGTGGTTCACTCTAAATGTTTACAAACAGAGCCGGGTTTAGTGACGACTATTAGGGGCAGATAATTTAGTTTGAAACGATTTTAAACGTAGGGGGGGGGGGGGGTAACTAAGTGGAGTTTACTTAAACGGAGGGGGGGGGGGGAGGGGGGGTTATTGTCCTTAACGAGCTAACGAGCTACTTATAGTGTTTTAAAGAAATATTTTCAGTGGCAGCGTTGGTAGTGTCGAATTCACAAATTATGAATAACTGAAAAGTAGAAAGTAGAAAAAACAACAACTAAATAGCGGCGTATGATATGCCGCGGGTCGGCTCGTATATAATATAATAATAAAATATAATTCTCTTCTGGTAGACGCTAGAAAACAAGCTGTAAGCGCGCTCCCTACCGCCCCCACCCCTACATGGTCTGTTGAGCTGTGGTTCACGCTAAATATTTACATTCGTGGAGCCGGGTTTAGTGACGGCTATTTGGGGCAGATAATTTTGTTTGAAACGATTTTAAACTTAGGGGAGGTAACTAAGAGGAGGCTGCTTTCACGGGGGGGGGGGGGGGGGTTAAGGTTTAAGGTAGGGGTTGGGGGAAAAGACGGTGGGGGTAGTATCGTCCTTAACGACCTACTGATAGTGATTTAAAGCAAATATTTTCAGTGGCAACATTGGTACTGTCGAATTCACAAAATATGTATTACTGAAAAGTAGAAAATAAAACAACCAAATAGCGGTGTATATTATGCCGCGGGTCGGCTCGTATTCTTATAGAACACTACGGGGGATGGCAACTCGGGATATAGACATGATTTTTAATCAATTTTTAATTACTTAAACTTTCAAAAATAGAATAGAATCTCGTAGAAAAAAGCATTGCGCACTAAGTGAACGACCAGCAATATCTGTATAATACTGCGGAATACTTAATAAATTCACATGCGTTTTTGAGAAATCGAAAATAGCGTAAATTACTACTTCCGGGCAAGGAAATTACTCAAAATTTGAAAGAAGGCTGCAAATTAGATCTTATACTACCATGTGAAACTTCGTTTATCTATCAGAAACTGTAATAGATTGAGATAATTGTATTGGTATTATATTTATATTGTTATCTTGAGTGATGTCCCTTACATGTTGTTATCTATATATAGTTGTCTCTGGCCACTTCCTGCCTCTCTTTGCATCATGGCTGTCTGTAAATAAAGGCTGTTAACAACCAATGTGGCTCCTCGTCAATCTATAACATTTTGGCTACGAAGGATAAACATCTACTAGAAAGAGCACCTACTTACGCAAAAAAGAGGTTTGCTAGAGCTTATTAGCTAATTATTTCTAGAATAATGGCGCTGTATGGCCAAATAAATCAATTTGATTCGAATGATGAAATCATTCAGGATTACCTAGAGAGGTTAAGCTTTTACCTAGAAGCTAACGACGTGACGATAGAAGCCAAAAAGAGAGCTGTTTTGTTAACAGTCATAGGGCCTCAACAATTTAGGCTACTAAAAGACTTATGCGCACCAGCTAGTCTAACTACCAAGAGCTTTAACGAGCTGAGCAAATTGCTAACAGACCACCATGCGCCTACCCCATCAAAGTTTCTATGTAGAGCTAGATTTGACAGTAGGACTCGTCAACCAAACGAGTCAATATCAGAATATGTTGCTGCTTTATGTCATCTAAGTAGATTTTGTGAATTCGGCGACACGCTGTCTGATAGACTATGTGAAAAGTTTGTGACAGGTGTAAACAGCCCGGATATTCAAAGAAAGTTGCTGCTCGAGTCAGATCTAACATTAAAAAAAGCAATACAACTTGCAATGTCATTCCAGCAGTCATCAGATGCGGCGAGATCTTTAGCACCTTCAGAGATCCATGCAGTAAACAGCAGGTTAGTCAATAAACATCAACCCCATCAGAGCATTTCAACTTATGCTAAACAGCCTGCTCGTTCAAATCCTAGATCTAAATCTAGTAATAATTATCAAAAATGTCATCGATGCAAAGGTCCCCATGCATCTCATCGGTGCAAGTTCAAGTTAGCAACTTGTTATAAGTGCAGTAAGCAAGGTCACATTGCCAAGGCCTGCTTTGCAAAGTCTTCGTCTGTTGCTAAATCTAGCCAGTCAAGACAGTACCGCAACCAAAGGCAGCACTATGTTAACTCTCACCAAGACTACCTAACCCAACCAATGAACCAATCTACCTGTGAAAATGCTCAAACTGATTCGCAGCCGGATTTCAACCTATTCTCTGTGAAATCAATAAGTCATGCTCCCATCAATGTACCAGTTTATATCAACGGTAAGAGCATCAGCTTCCAACTTGACACTGGAGCATCTCTAACAGTCATAACAAAGAAAGATTTTGACGCTGTCACAGGAGGATCAGTGTCTCTACAGCCGTGTCACAAGTGTCTAACAACATACACTGGTGACAATGTTCCGGTAATAGGAGAGTGTATGGTTCATGTAAGTTATAATGGTCAAAGTGTTAAACTTCCTCTTCTTGTGGTTGAAGGAAATGGACCGCCATTACTAGGTAGGAACTGGTTAAGTGATCTTAAGTTAAATTGGGAGAGTATTTGTTCATTGAAGAATGTAAAAGAATCTAGTCTTACTTCACTAGATAAAGTAATATCTGAAAATAAATGTGTTTTTGGTAATTCAGGATTACTAAATGATAGAACAGTGAAGTTAAGCATTAAAGACACAAATCCAAGATACTGCAAAGCTAGAGTTCCACCTTATGCAATGAGGAATAAAATTGAAAATGAGCTAAGTAGATTGGAATCTAATGGCATCATAAAGAAGGTAGACTATTCCGATTGGGCGTCGCCCATTGTGCCAGTGTTAAAGAAGGATGGTTCTATAAGAATTTGTGGAGATTATAAAACTACACTGAATAAGCAAATAGAGCTAAATAGGTACCCTATACCTAACATTGAGGAAATTTCTTTGAATTTGGCAGGAGGAGACAAATTCACTGAATTAGACTTTAGTCATGCTTACACTCAACTAGAACTGCATCCAGATTCAAAAGTCTATACGACAATAAACACACATAAAGGACTCTACCAATATGAAAGACTATGTTTTGGCATATCATCTAGCCCTGGAATTTTCCAAGCTGTCATGGACAGTATTTTTAAGGATATTCCAAATGTTTGTGTGTACTTTGACAATGTGTACATAACTGGTAAGAATGACACTGAACATCTTAAAACACTTGATAAAGTATTGAAAATTGTTGGTGAAAAAGGTTTAAAGATAAACAAAGATAAATGTCAATTCATGCTGACAGAAATTAGTTTTCTTGGTTATATATTGAGCAAACAAGGCATCAGACCTCAACCTGAGAAAACAAAAGCTATTAAAGAAGCACCCAAACCTGAAAATACCCAACAACTAAGAGCTTTTTTGGGCTTAATAAATTACTATGCAAAGTTCATAGGAAATCTGTCTGGTAAACTATCACCACTGTACAAGCTGCTACAGAAAAATGCAACTTGGCACTGGGGTAAACAATAAGAAGCTGCTTTTAATACAGCAAAAGAGGCTTTGTCTGCTGACACCTTACTAACTCACTATGACCCAGGGAAAAGACTTATATTAACATGTGATGCTTCACCAGATGGTGTAGGAGCAGTCTTGTCCCACATGGATGAGAAGGGTGACAGACCCATTGCTTTTGCCAGTAGATCTTTGAACCAGGCTGAGAAAAATTATTCTCAGTTAGATAGGGAAGGCTTAGGCATCATGTTTGGTGTTAAGAAATTTCATAAGTTTCTGTTTGGTAGGAAGTTCACCATCTTTACAGATCATAAACCATTGCTAGGTT